GGCTGGCATGTGGTGCTGGGGGATTGAACCGGGGTCTCTGTGCTTTGCTTAGCTTAGCTTGTTCTAAGTAGGTGCTTTAGACCACTGAGCCATCTCACCAGCCCAAGAAATTCTCTTTACTGTCACTAGCCCTTTTCCTGTTCTTCCACACTTGTTAGGAAGATTTTATGCCTTGTGAGTGAAACAGATCTTAGGTTATAGGAAGACACGGAGTGTGGGAAAGGGAACAAAGATGACCCAAGGGCTGGGGAGATGGCTTAGTGGAATAAGCGCTTCCCTGGCAAGTGCAAGGGTCTGTTCAATCCCCCATTCCGGGGGGAGGGGGAAAGACCCAAGATGTGGGAGGATGAACAGAAGAGATCGGTGGATGAAGGGGTGATCACATGGTATTTTGTGCCAAAATCTGCCAGAATGAAGTCAAGATTTTGAAAACTCAGACTGGAAGTAACACTTTCAAAGTTACTAAATTTTCAAAATCAGAATTTGGTTTCATAAATGTTAACAAGTTTTATAGCAGGTTTCCTATGATTTGCTGTGAAGCTGAACTCAAGCTGTGCTATTTTGAGGTTCAGGTGATGAGCATTGTTCTGTCTATGAAACCTCATTCATCATAGAACTGAGTACCAAAAAGACACTTTGTGGGACAGTGGCTTTTGCATGTTTGAGAACTGTGGGGCTTCAGCTCTGGAAGTAAGTGGGGTTCCTTCAGATGGCCTCATGGACAGTGGACAGGACAGTTCCTCCTGTTCCCTAATCTTATATGTGTCTCATTATATATTTTATAAGACCATTGTGCATGGTATGTTTGTTGATTGTTCTCCCTAAACTCCCCAAACAAGAGCCATATACCTTACTATATTGGTGAACTAGTGGGCAGAGATCTATAGTTTCTTTCTTAGAAATTCTCAGGAAGCCAGACCCACTCCTAGCCCAGGTCTGGTGAGTGTGAGGAGAGCTTCCTGCTACCCTGCGCCGGCGGGACCAGTCCCAGCCCAGGCGCAGAGTGGGCCGGACCCTCTCCCAGCCCCTTGGGCCGCCCCCCACTACTCCGCAGTGCCTCCCCCACCCCGCCCACAGAGTAGGATTTTCTGCCGAGTTCCGGGAGCCCCCAGACCCAGTCCTAGCCCAGGTCCGGTGAGTGTGCGGAGAGCTTCCT